CAAACCGTGTCCAGGGTCAACGAAGTTTGTAGGGAATACCACTTGCCTCTAGTCCTATCCGTTGTCGACTATGAACAAGAGTTTGACAGTGTCGAAACGAATGCAACAATATCAGCGTTCGTCGGGGAAGGAGTTGAGCCGTCTTACATGAGGACTTTGTCCGACTTTTATCGGAACTACACTACGAAAATGCAGCTTTTCCATCGACCTCTTGTAATATCCATAGGAAAAGGGGTTCGACAGGAAAACACAATATCGCCAAAGCTGTTCAGTGCCGCACTGCAGTGGATAATGAAGTCACTCGATTGGGATTTGAAAGGCATGCGTTTTGATGGAACATTACCCTCAAACCTTCGTTTTGCCGACGACATTGTCATCTTTTCAAGGAGTACTAGCGAATCAGAAGTAATGATGAACGACCTCAACGAAGCGGGGAAAAAGATCGGACTGCGCATAAATCGAAAAAGGAACTAGTTCATGGAAGTCCATGGTGCGAAGGCAAAAAAATTGAATTGGATGGCTCTCACATTGCAGAGACCACTTCGTACGTTTATCTTGGGTTGTCAATAAACATGGAAAACAACATGGACGAGGACCTAGATAGAAGAAGTAAAGCAGCTTGAGCCGCATTGAGGCCTCTGAATGAAGCCACCGACCAGCTGAAGGACCCGAAAATCCGTGCTCATCTCTTTGATTCTACGGTCCTCACAGCGCTCTGTTATGCTGCAGAGACATGGGTTGATAGTTCAACTACGTAGATAATGCTTCGCACTACTCACAGAGCGCTTGAGCGATGCCTTTTGAAATATAACCACCACTCTCAATATGTAACCGGAATGCGAAGCTCTAACCTTCGAAATCTGTCACATCTTCGAGATCAAGGTGAATATACATCGACAGCGAAACATAGATGGGCCGTTCACGTAATGAGAAGAGCCGACGGCAGATGAGCGAAAAGAACAGTAGAGTGAACTCTAAGGGAATGGAAACGTCCTCTTGGACGACCACCTATACGTTGGGCGGAAGTGCTCGCAAACAAAGTTAATCAGCTGTACCCTCAGTTGCAGTTGTTTTACAGGTCATGGTATGCGACTCGCACGCGCAACTATGCTCGAACAAGATCACCACTATGGACTACTATTGCGAGAAAAAGGAACGAATGGCATATGTGCTGAGGTCCGCACAATTTGTGAAGACGGACCGTCCAAGTTTCCAAGTAACGAAGTACTTTCTTGACAGTCAGTAAATTTTGTGAGGCTCCAGTGCTGAAATACATTGTCACACAGTAATGACACGGTAGGCTTGACTAATACTAATATGCTGTTTTATATCCTGTCCATCCCCAGTCTTTCATTCAGTGTATGCTATTGTTCGCTAGCATGTCTTAAATGGCCATAACACATCCTAGAGCTTTAGATTAAATATGTTTTCTACCTCGATAAGGCCTATGCTTCAATTCTAATGCATGTTCACCTCTCAATGTTCAATTCTACTGCACGGATGATATTTTATGCTACGTTACAGCACGCTACACCCTCCGCCACCACACCGTCATTATATCAATACCCATGTCATGCACATCGCACCTTACCGATTTTCGTAACATCTTTTTTGATTCATTTTGCCCAGTTATTTTATGAATTCATTCGATCTTATCCCGTACTAGTCATTCAATACTGGAGAAAAGCTTCTGTTGTATCCTTGTCCAATTCTCTTCACTTTAGCACAACTGCACCTTGCGGAATACTTATGGCAGAGGAATCTAGCCGGGCTAAGCGACGACCTTGTGGTCGAGACGAAAGCTGCGCTGCTCCTGGAGCTCATCGCTCTGCCCAGAATATAGGAATTACCGTGAATGAGTGTACAACAAAACCCGAGCGTGTTCTACTTACCCAAAGATGGACGGTGCGTTCTTTTTGTACATATTATTGTTGTTTTTTTTTCACATCTTCTATTCAGGTGAACGAAGCATCGTCGCTCTTAGAGCTGCCACAACCTCGTTCTTGGTTTGAAAACGGCATCTTAAAGTTAGTTGGTATAGTGTATTATTAACTTTTATTAAGATATCTATTGTGCACGTTTCTAATTTTATTCTGTCAGACATACTGAAATTCCTGGCACTAGTTGGCATCTCTTCCTTTATCCTGGAGGTAGGAACTATCTCAAATCTGGTATGGTTTCAGTGACCATACATATGTCTGCCTCATTTCCCGTCACGGAGGTATTTCTGTGCACATTTTAAAACCCTGGGCTTAGATGCATAAACGTGGAGTGCATAGGTGACCGTCAGAGCTCAATCGTATCTCTGTCTCTTGGGTGACAACGATGAAACGAAGTTCAGGACTTCCTACAGTGGCGATTTCTACTGGACGCCGCATAGTGGTGGAGAAACACGTAGTGTTCATGACATCCCAAGGCGAACGGTTTGCGATTATTTTCTTATTGTCTTTATCCTATGTTTTTTTTTGGTATTTTTTACACCAGAGTAGTGCTTGGTCATAAACATAGGTCCAAATTTTGGACATGATCTTTGGAATCGGTAAGAATTTTCTTGCAATATACTTGAATTCTTTAGCTTATTTATGCTTGATTTTTCAGGTTCAGAAATGTATTAGAGCCGACGGCAGTGTGGTTATATTGTGTACAGTTGAGCTTCTACTAGATGCAAAACTCAGGGAAAGAGTGCAAAGTTCTGCGCCTTTTTTAGCAATGTCGAAGGTTCCTCGGGTTTACGCAGAAAATGGTAGTGTTTCATAGTTATATTATGTCACAGTGGTTCTGCTTCTTATCACAGTACAACACTTTTTCCAGCCAATATTTTTAAATCAATGACAAAGTGAAAAAAATGGTGTAAAAGGAAAATTGAACTGAATTAATGACTTTTTTTACCATTACGTAGGCGCCAGTGTGACACTTGCAGAGCTCACGATGTTGCTGGATGTGAAGAATCGTCCGCGTTGCGATCTAAACATAACGGCTGGATTTGGTAACCAACGAGTGGTGCTTTCGGCCCACAAATGCAAGCTTATTGCCCATTCAGATGTATTTTGCGCCATGTTCCGCCACAATACGAAAGAACGCGAGGTTTGGTAGCCGTTTCGATTTCAAATTAGATAGGCACTAAGTCCTAATGCACCTAAAAGAATACACTAACACTACTGAAAGTTGTGATTTGTTGATGATATGTCATACCAGAAGAGACAGCTAGTATAAAATTCTGTAGTAAGTGCATAAGTGAACAATGTTACCCACGCTACTTTCGAGTAGACAAGCCACCACTTACGCCTAACGGCGGTGTCATGGCTATTAGCATACATGTTTTCCTTATTGATTACTGGCCTAAGATGTTAATAAGGAAAAGTCTGAGTTTTTAGACAAAGTCGGTAATGATAGAAGATTTCGCTGCATCTGCGGTGAAAAGTATGCTGACTTTCGTCTATGTCGGTTCAATTTCACTCCAGGACTTAGAGTCCAGGGTATGTTTTACACTTTGTTCGTAGTCTGCTTTTGGATTTCTGATTGATTATACTTATACCACAAACTGTGCAGGAAGTTGGTGACGTAATGCGCTTAGCGGACAAGTATTTTATCAAAGCGCTAAAGGCAATATGTGAGAAGGAGCTTATTGCGAGGTATGTGAAACCTCCTCACGTTGGGTAAACGCTTCGTTGTTGTTTTCGAGGGGCAAAATGCTCATTTAAAGAACTGTTGTAGAAAAATACATTAACATAACAAAATACATTGTTTGTTTTCATTCTGGTTATTGATTGTTTTAGAATTCGCTCCTCAAATGTTGTCGATTTTGTGGAGCTGGCCGACTTTTGCAATGCGACTTGTTTGTATGAAAAATGCGTTCATTTCGTAAGTAGCTCGTATAAGTTTTTCTTTTTCTTCCTCTTCTTCTATGTGTGGCGTCCAAGCACAGGGCTTCTTGTCCTTAACATCGATGCAGTGGTATTTGCTGAGATAATGCACATTTGTCGAGTGAACGACCTTCTTTAAGGTTACTGTTATAGCATAGTGTTTACGTGATTCATAGCGTTCTTCCAAGAGCGACTATCACACAGAGGAATTTGAAATTTTTGCTATTCTTCATACAAAAAGGCTTCATGTCATTAAGAAGCATGTTCTTTTTCTTAGGTGAAAACGATGAGTTGATCCTTATCAATGCCGGAGTAACTCGTTGTAAGTTATTTCAGATGGGTAGCAACATACACAGTACGTCCAGCTCGGTATCATGGCAAGCGTTGATGGATCGAAATCCGAGACTGACGGCTTCCATAATGGATCGCATGAACGATTTGGCCAACCTGGTGCCGCTCTAACTTTCTCCACTTGTTAAAAAAGGTACCGGTCAAAGTTTTCATTCAAGCCTCTGTAAACCTATTATTCGTAATTCAATTATTCTTCCACCTCAGCTCTAGTCAAAAGGTAACCGTTCTCTAACACGTACTGAGAAGTTCCTAAACTTTGTAACTGGGAATGACCACTACTTTGAGTGTACTAAGCGTTTTTGTTTCAGTAAACGTTTCAGAGGAATTTTCTGTACCTCGTCCAGTGTCCGTCTCTCCCAAGAATAGAAAACTCCAATGTCACCACATTCAGGTGACTTTAGAAGTCTGCCTATTTATCAGGAACCTCCATTTCCATTGTTTTCTCACTGTGGATATCCTCTTTCTCCTATAAAATGTTGGTTTTTCTCTTCTCCAAGGTTTATTTTGCTTTTTCCTGCAAGGCTTGCTAGGATGCAAATCTTTCATGACAATCCGTCAGGTGTTGACGTTCCACATGAGTGACTCTGTCGATTTTTGCGAATTATTTTTGATGTATATGAAAGTAGGACTAATACTTGGGCGCAATAAGGGATTCTGTTTGAGAAGCTACAATAGTATCTGAGGACAACCAATATGTGCTACGCATGTTTCTTCGCATTTTTTCTTTAGAATATCTGGTTGTGACCAGTCACAGTGCAGGTGTACACATCTGCTCTTGCAGCCGAAGATTAACAGCTGGCGAGTCTGCTAACCTGGCTATGATATGGTGTTGACGAAATAGGGTACGCCAGATTTACTGCCAGATATCCTAGGCGGGTTAGCATTAAGCGCAGTGATGTAACATTTTTCCAAATCCTTTTTATGTCCCTCAGTGCATTTATCGTATATTGTACATGATTGTAGCTAGGATGGGATTGTTATCAGTCTCTACAGATTCTGTTCCAGAATTTTGCTTCGCATGCCATTTTGAATAAGTATATCAAATTTCACACAGGAAGTGTTTGTTATTTGCAAGAACTTAAAGTTTTTTTCTAAGAAAGTTCGATCCGTTGGAGACTGTTGTAGTGCTGATAAATGTTGATGTTGTAAGAAGAGGAAACAGCTTAATAAATATTTCGAGCAAAAGGTTTGCAGCACTAATAAGACGCTATGGAAAAGTGCATTCTGAAGAAAAACTGAGCGCAATGGTGAATGCATATTCTGTTGACAATTGCTCTTGCTAGCTACCGAAAACACTTCCCTATAGTTTGCCGTAGAAGTCGTATTGTAAGTTCATTTGCAGAATTCCACTCAGTGATACGACGTTTTTTGTGACCGATGGAGTTTTGCTTCTCTCTAAATGTTCCCGTGTAAATGTAAATACAAATAGATCTGCTGTGGAATTGTAGCCAAAAGGCTAAATCGGTTGAATTTGTAGCGTAGTATACCTTTCGCTAGTACAGAGCATTAAGAACGTCTATCCATGGACCAGGCTCAGTATAAAGCATGTGCTCGACAGGTTTTCAACTGAGTGCAAAAACTGGTAAAAGTGCTCTTTGGAGCTAAATGAACCAGACAGAAGCGCTAGTGTTGAAGTCGAGAAGTACGTCTTCGTATTCTTGTTGTGCAAATGCGAGGCGATATTTTATTCATTATTCAGGAACAAGCTGATGTTTCGGCGGATTTCGTTCACCTCAGAACCTGGAGAGGTCAAGTTGACAACAATCTACCCGACTAAACAGCTCCATAACCAAGCAGAGAAAAAGCTAAACCAAGGTTTTAATCACATTGAACACAGATTAGCTTCTTTGCCAACTCACCGCTTTCTATGAGCCTTCCACAGAGTATGTCGCGTTGAGACCCACAGACTTCACATGGAAGCGTAATGTCCCCATGTTCCACTTTTTTCAACCTTTTCAGATCTCGTACCTCTCGCGTACCACATTTTTGCACTTCAGTGAGGTTGGAGCTGTAACTTTTCGCCCGATAGTGATTAAGTACTTTCAAAATTTCATTCGTAAACATCGGAAATTTAACGTCAACTTCATTAGAAGTACGGCGCGAAGCGTCCAACAGTGTCAAATATTAAAATCAACGTACGAGGTCGTGGAAACGGTTTTAAAAAAATAAACCCTTCTGCTCATCCTTCACAATTAACTAGAAAGTGCCCCACTTCTCCCACCCCCAGATGGAAACTATGCGAAAAAATTCAATTTTTGTGCAGCCAGTTGCCAGCAGTAGAAAATCCCCTTTTCAATATTGGTTCTTCCCCACATAATTTCCATAGATATTCCCTTTTCTAAACAGGTTACAGCAACCCCTTTTCGCAAGCAATAACAGGACCCTATGCTTCGGAGCAGTAGGAGGCATCTGCTAATCTTTACAATTTGTTACATCAGTTTGCTCTCTTCTAGTTTCCTGCAAAAGGTTCTAGCCCATTTCTATCATGAAAAAGAGTACCTTGGTGATCACCGCCACTGCCATTTGGCGGCAAGCCACTGAATTATTGATCGAACTCTACCGATGCTGCGGTTTTTTTTTGTGGAGGTCACTCTTCTTGAACAATAACACGGTCTTGCTGGTCTTCCACTGTGTTGGTGCCTTCCATTAACACAGGTAACGTTTGAAGAGCCGGGCCAGTGTGTTTACTAGGACCGGCGGAAGGTTCTTCAGGTGTTCTTATCTAATCCTATCCGGACCTGGTGCTGTTCGATTTTTCACCGACAAAATGGCATGTCGGATTTCGGATTTCTTTGTGCAACTCAAAATTGCATAATTTGCCCCAGTGGTAGAGACGGTGATTGCATGAGCTCGGGTATAGTTTATCTGATCTCCTGTAAGGCGTGTGGTGACGAATACATTGGCGAAACGGGTAGACCCCTCTGTGTTCGCATGAAAGAACACATAACCGGCAAAAATAGACCAAATACCCCGCTAGGCACGCATAGGACCCAGTGACATAACGGGGACGACTTCGAAGTATGTGTCACGATCCTCGCACGCGAATCAAGAACACAGGCGCGAAAAACTCTCGAGGCACTCTGGATTAATTCCAGAAATCCGAAAATGAACCGCAGGGAAGAATGCCTCATTATCACGCGTGATATAGGACAGTATATAAAACTGCTTTTCTGATGTGAGGGGCACATTATACTTCCATGTGATTTCTGTGCGGTTGGTCTCTACGTGACGTACTTAGTGGAAACCTCATAGAAAGCGGCGAGTGTGCAAAGCTGTGTTCAAAGTGATTGAAATCTTGGTTTGGAGTTCCTTTGTTTGGTTATGGAGGCGTCTGGCCGAGTAGATTGCTATCAACTTGACCTTTCCAGGCTCTGAGAAAGGCGAAATCCGCCGAAACGTCAGCTTAATCGTGAATAAAGAATAATAACACTTCGCGTTTGCTCAACAAAAATATGAAGAAAATTACTTCCATTTACTATGATGTGGTCTATTTCGTTATGGTACTCTCCATTGGGAGACTCCCACGTTCAGCGCTGAGGGTGGGGTTTTGGAATTGCGAGTTACCATGAATGGTCTTGGTCGTCATGATAAACTCAGACAGCCGCTCACCCTGTTCAAGCCTGGCGCCAATTTGCCGACCCCGGAGAACGGAAGGCTTAGTGGGCCATGGGCGCATCGATCGATTCCGTGTGTGTGTCGCAGTGGCGCCTCCAACCACTGCGCCCGGTGGTGTGCGAAGTAACACGCATTGCTACTTAATTGCTTATATAAAAAAATCAGTAAAGCTCTTTTTGGATGTTCACGGTAGTTTCAAGCAACGAAGTTTACTTTTTGACGAAAACAGCGAGAATTTCTTAGCAAATTTCTGAGACCGCCGTTCGGTACTCTTCTAATCGTTATATCACAAATATTTGAAACAAGACCAAAATAGGTTTTCGAAATGCTTTCTTTATCTAACATGTTAGTTCTGTTCGTCACTAGTCTTACTCACATCACCAAGAAATGTCGGACATCTACATGAAGAGATTGAAAACCAGCTACAATACCTACGATTAGGATTTATCAATCAGACAGGTCTCCACGACTTTGCATCATCATAAGTGTTGATCTCATTCTTAGCCACATTACACTTCTAACTTAGGAGTCATAGTTCTTCTAAACGTTTACTATGCACGAAAGTTACTTTTGTGGAGTAGGTCTTTCACGCTCAGGAAAATCTTGCCTCTTTCCACTTACGCTAGATTGATGTTGTGCTATTTGTTTAGCTCTTGGTTTCAGGAGAGAAACAACGATGCCATCATTCAAAAGGTCATCAGTCGATGTTTACAGAAAAGTTAATCTCCGTTTGTTTTCTTCCACAGAATGTGATGGCAACCACACTAATCTCTTTCGAAAGGTATCACTTCACATAATAAGTGAACTTTTCGCCGACTCTATATCAAATAGTGGCTTTTGGAAACTACAAAAAGTATAGTGAAAGAACAAACAGATCAAGAGTACTTCGCGAACGATAATTTACGAATACTTCATTACTGAATAAAAACAAAGAAGTAGAATCACAAGAAGAGTCCGCTTTCTAAAATCCTTCGTCACAGTACATTGGCAGTTGTAGCACGAAAGTAATAATGTGAAAAAGAGAGAATGAAACGAAGTACCGGTGCTGCAAACCAAGTAGATTCAGCAACTGCCTCTGAATCGTTCCTGGTAGACCTGGAAGTGCTATTAGCGGTACTTTCTGCGCGAAAGAATACCGATAGAGAAAAATGCTACACACCCAACCATAAGGTAAGTGTAAGTTTACAAGGCGTTGACCTATCCTAGAGAGTTGCTCCATAGAGTCGACATCATGTTTCGCAGAGGTGACTAAATGCATTTCTGTTATACACATCGACACAGCGCGCTCACCAAGCCTTCAGTCTCTTCGGGGTTATCGAAATGGTACAGGACTTATTTGAAACACTAATTTGAGCTACTTATTGGCTTTCTCACTTCACTACAAAAGCCACACATGCATTACATAACATCTTAAATGCTCAATAATGCGGAATGAATGAGCATTCATCAGCGATTAATCGACGCCAAAAAATTTATAATTCTCAACTTAACCATAA